CAAACTTTTACATTTTTAGTACCCAAACAATCAGCTCAAAAGGTAGAGCTTAATGCAGTATTACAAGCTTTTATGATGTTTAAATATTCTGTATTTAATTTATTTTCTGATAGTCAGTATGTAGTTAATGCTATAGTATCCCTTGAAGATGCTGGTAGGATTTCTCCTTCCTCTACTGTTTTCTCTTTGTTTTCCACTATACAAAGTCTAATCTGGGACAGAAAAGATCCATTCTTTATAGGACATATCAGGGCACATACAGGATTGCCTGGAGCCCTTAGTTTGAGCAATGATTTAGCAGATAAAACTACACATGACATACATATTTTCTCTACACTAGAAGAATCTATAAATTTTCATAAAAGGTTCCATGTCAAGGCTAATACTTTACAAAAGCATTTTTAAATAACTAAGGAACAAGCTAGACAAATAATAAAACAATGTCAAAATTGTGTACCCTTTTACCACAAGTTAATCTTGGAGTCAATCCTAGAGGACTGATACCTAACCATATTTGGCAGATGGAGGTCACACACTTGCCAGAATTTGGAAAATTAAAATATTTGCATGTTACAGTTGATACTTCTTCCGAATTTTTGATGGGCTCCCTTCATGTCGGAGAAAAAACTAAAGATATTATAGCTCATTGCTTACAATATGTTGCCACTGTGAGAGTTCCAAAACAGTTACAAACAGATAATGCCCCTGGTTATACTTCTTCCTCTTTTAAACAATTTTGCTCATCATTTGGCATTACTCACATAACAGGAAGTCCATACAATCTACAGGTACAAGGCATAGTTGAAAGAGCTAATTAAACTATTAAAATGTACTCATTAAAGCAAAAAGAGGGAATTGGAAAGGGGGTTATATCCCCCAAAGATAAACTTAAAATAACCCTTTTACTCTAAACTTTTTAAATTTGGATTCATCAGGGCTTAGTGCTGTGGAAAGACATATGTATCCAAAACATGTACATAAGCCTAAGGTACTTTGGAAGGATATTCTAACAGGACAATGGAAAGGTCCTGACCCAGTGATTGTCTGGAGTCGGGATTCTGTTTGTGTGTTTTCACAGGGAGAACAGCAGCTGATTTGGATTCCAGAGAGACTAACCAAAGAGATTTCTACAGACCAAAAAAAGATGATTTGACTCAAATCCATAACAGCTGATATCCAGAGCTCCAGCTTGGCTATTCTTACATCTGCGACAGTGATTCCCCCACACCTGGAGGCTAATGAATAATGAACACCATTAAGGACTATTTCAAATGTAAAAAACCTTGAGGCTTGCTTGTGGGAATGCCTTCAGACCCATATGCAAGTTACAGAAAAAAAGGATGGGATATCCAAATAAGAGTCAATCCTAGGTGGTAACCAGGATGTCTTTTTTCAATATCTATTTTATTATTGCCCTTTCCCTCATCATAAAGTTCTATTTTATTTTTTGAGCTCATACACACCTAGGTTAATGTTTTTCTGATCAGTTCTATTTTTTGACTGTGGAGTTTTTAATCATTGCAGTGGAGATTTCACCTGTGTAAAGCTACAAGGCCTTTACTATTGTCTTATGTGTTGTATGTTACATGTGCACACTTGTGTTTTGTGTTGTATGTCTGTATGTGTGTATGTCCATATATCGTATATGAGGAGAGCTCATGAAAAAATGGATCTGAATTCTTTTTATTTATGTGATTTAAATGGTTTAATTTAAATTGAGTAAACAGCTGTTGAGGATTGTTTTAATATGTGATCAAATAAGGAGGTTAACAGATCTGTTTGTTTACTTTCACCTTTTCTTTTCATTATATTTCATAAATCTGTTCAGGATAATGTAAATTGTTCAGAAAATTGTTTTCTTAGTACCTGTTGGAATGTTACATAATTTTTTTTTAGCCATCATTGCCAGAATTCCTATCTTCATCCCAGTGCCGGTGAAGACAAAGATAAAACCAAACTACAGCTTCTTCGATAGCTATCACAGTAAACTGTATAAAGTGATGCAACAATGAATAATAACCCAACAAGTAATGCTCGATCAAGGAGTCAATTTAATTTGGGAGTAAATGGACATATTGATAGATTCCTCTGCTTTGAACTGCTTGCAGAACTTTCCTGGACTATGTATCACTTGTATGCATTGTGAACTATCTGTTGGTGCAGTGAATTGTGGTAGTGCTGATGTATCTTTGCTGATGGTGTCACTGGTGGTACAATTTTTCCAAAAGAGACATCAATTGGCTTGGTGTCGTGGCATTTCTGTATCCTCCCTTCTGCTAGTGATTGTCTAAAACTTGGGGGCCAACAGAGGTGAGGCAAAGAACCTCACCCCCCCACTGGCACCAAGCCCAAATTTGGGGGCCAACAGAGGTGAGGCAAAGAACCTCAACCCCCCCACTGGTGCATAGGCCTATCCACAAGTATGGCTGTATGCTGGACCAGTAGTCTGTGACGGGTAAGATCCAATTGCAGTGCTACCAACCTAAGACAGGAGGCTGACGCCTTGAGGTCAGCACATCCAATGATGGATAAGGACCATATGCAGTAATGTACAGCCTAAGAGACATGGCATTTTTGCCAGAAGTAGTGGTTGAGAGGTGAGGCCAGCGAGCCATTAAGATGATGATTTTTGAGTTCTTGCGGAGTTCCCATTGAGTTCCAGTTGAGCTCTCATGGGGATACCTGAAGAGTTTGCATTGGTTGAGGAAGTGCCGGAGGAGGGATTTCTGGTTGGTGGTTCCTGGAGGAGCTGCATGGCATTTGGGAGAGTTCCTGGGGAGCGTGTGTGGAGTTTGCTGGTGGAGTTCACAAATGAAGTTTGTTCCTCTTGAGTGGCTCGTAATTTGTGCCCAGCCAGACTGCAGCAGGTCTGCAGAGAAAGATATCAGGAAAATATTCCCATTCTAAATAACTTAAAAAGTAGTTGGAAAGAAATCAACCAAGGAGGTGAAAAATCTCTACAATGGAAACAGTGAGTAACAACACAGGGTAAAACTGAAGACCTTAGAGATGGAAAGAACTGCCAGTTTTTGCTATTGTCAGAATGATTATTATCAAATGGCCAAACTACCAAAAATGTCACAGAGATTCAATGAAATCTCCAACAAATACCAAATATATTCTTCAAACAACCAGAAAAATTCCTGATATTTGTGTGGAGAAATTAAAAATACAAAATAGCCAACGTAATTCTAAGCAGGAAGATTGAACCTGAAGTTATGAAAATATCTGACATCAAACGATTTGACAGAGCTGCAGTAACAAAACCAGCAGGCACTGACCCCATAGCAGACGTGAAGAACAGCAGAATAGAAGGTACAGAGACAAGCCAACATAAGTGCAGTTATTTGGCACTTGACAAAGTTTTCAAAATCCTGTTGGAGACATGACAGTGTTCTCAACTAACAGAGCTGATAAAATTAAATATCCCAATATGAAAAAAGATTCAATAGATCACTATATTTCACCCTACAAAAGTCAACTCAAAGTTTATCAGAAATTGAAGAATTAGACTAGGCACTCTGCAAGGGCTAGAATCAAATATTGCACCAACCTCCTCTGTACTGACACAGACACCGACTTCCTCAACCAGGTTACTAAAGTGCAAGGATCAAAACCAGGAAACAGTGGGACAGTATCAAATTAAAACCTTCAGCACAGCAATGGAATGCAGCCACAGTGTGAGGAAATAACCTTGGGAATAGGACATCATTGTCACCTGCTTCCCAGATAATGCACTAATACCCAGAATATATAGAGAACCCAAAACACTTAATAACCAGAACAAATAGCCCAATAAATAAATGGGAAAGAGCTAAAGTGACATTTCTCAATAGAGAAAATCTAAGTGGCCAACAAATATAGGAAATGATATCCAATACTTGTAGCAATCAGGAAATGAAAATTGAAATTATGTTTAGAATTCATCTCAGTCCAATCAGAAGGCGATCATCAAGAACACAGTTAATAACAAATGTCAGCAAAGATGTGGGAAAGAGGTGTACAGATGTGTTATTGCTGGGACGTCAAATTAGTGCTGCCATTCTAGAAAGCAGAATGGACATTTCATGAAGACCAGGAATGGAGCCACGATGTGACCCAACTGCCACTCCTTGGTATTTATCCAAAAGACCCAAGATCAGCACAGCACAGCTATCTAGCCACATCAGTGTTTATACCAGTGGGCCTGAAAACAGCCATATTACATAACTTTCCCAGATGTCCATCAACTGATGAGTGGATAAAGGGAAGGTGGTGTATACACAGAACAGTGTTTCACTCAGCCACAGGGAAGAGGAAAAACATGGTATTTCCTGGTCAATGGATGGAACTGGAGAATATCAAGTTTATTCAGCCAGGATCAGAGGGAGAAATGTCAAGTGTTTAATCTCAAATGCGAATTGCAAATCACAAAAGGGGAAAAGTTCTGGGAGGAGTCCCCTGGAAACAGAAGAGGGAGCAGGAGGAGAGGAAGGGGATCAAGGGTGAGGTAGGGGACAGAAATGGGACAAGCAGTGGAATGACGCGGATGAAGCATTCCTGTGTCGTGTGTGAGGATGGCACAGTGGATGTCCTCTTTATGTGCTCTAAGAGGCACTAATGAAAACAAATTATAGAAAAGATCTGTCGAGAAAAGAAAGGGAAAAAAGGGCCAGGAGGTAGGAGTAAAGAGGAGGGAGGGAAAGGGAGATGGCAGGGTACAGAAGTGGAGAAATTATGTCCCATGATTTTGTAGTTGTGTCCAATTGAAATGCACTATTATTTATAATTATGGTGCAACAATGAAAAAAGAAAGTGTAAATTAAAACCCCAAATTGTTCTCTTTAGAGACATAAGAGATTAGTAGGAAACATATGTCCAGAGAGCTCTCCTAGAAAGCTGGATCATGGAGAGGAGAGGCTCCCAGAGGGAGGAAATCTGCCCCCACCCCCTCTGCACCTGCTCCTCCTGGGTGACCTTAGCTCCCTGTGTGGTGAGCGCCCCCTGATGGCCCTGGGTGCCCTGAGGGGAGGTTTGTGTCTGGGCTCACATTGAGGTCCCCTCACTGTGTCTCTAGCACAGTAATAGGTCGCTGTGTCCTCGGTTCTCAGACTGCTCATTTCCAGGTACAGGGTGTTCTTGGTGTCCTCTCTAGAGATGGTGAATCGGTCTTTTACAGATGCAGCATATGCTGTGCTGTAACTATTAGCTTTGGTTCTTACAACAGCAACCCACTCCAGCCCCTTCCCTGGAGCCTGGCGGACCCAGTGCATGTAGTAACTACTGAAGGTGAATCCAGAGGCTGCACAGGAGAGTCGCAGGGAACCCCCAGGCTGCACCAGGCCTCCCCCAGACTCCACCAGCTGCACCTCACACTGGACACCTGCAAACACAGAGGCAGCCTGGTCAGGACACTGGCACTCACCCACTCTTCCTCTCACTCCTGTCCACTCACACACTCAGGGTCTCTGGTTCTGCATTCATTACCTTTGAAAACAGCCACCAGGAAAACCCAGCTGAGCACACTCTCCATGGTGAGCAGCTGTGTTCAGTCCTGATCACTGAGTGGGCTGAGCTGGGAGTCCAGGGCTGGGCTCCTGTGCAGAGCTGCAGGGTCAGGTGGGCTGGTTTTCATGAGCAGAGGGAGGCCCTATTTGCATGACCTCCTGCTATATAGCAGCTCTGGGTGGAGGCCCAGGTAGAATAGCTCTGAGAGCTGATGGGAGTGTCATGGGCAGGATGGTGGACAGAGGAGCATTCAGGAGGGGAGAATTTTTTTAATTTTGATTTTGTTGTCTTTCATTTTAATTTATTTATTAAAAAGAAAAAAAAATCTAATAATGGAATATTAGTGTTAACTCTCTTCACTTAGAGGTATGTGTGCGGGTTCACTGTGTACAATCGCTCAGTTTTAGCAAGATTGACTGGTTTTCTGGTCTTTTGCTTTCACCCTGGACACGACTGCTGCCCTGACCCTCCTCCAGCCCCCAGGTGCACACACTGGTGAGGTCCTCAGAAACATCCTGCATTGGAAATGTGCTGTGTGTCTTCTCCCCTCTGCTGCCACCTGCTCTCTAGGGAGGTGTCCAGCTGAGGGCCTCAGAGGCTCCCTGCAGTGGGAAGGTTGTGCCTCCCTGTGAGGGCCTCCTTCAGCTCAGGAGCATCCAGTTGGCACAGAGCCCTCAGGTACACAGGCTGCTGCCATCTGTGGTGGGCACAGACCCCAAGTGTGGGCAGGGAGAAACCCAGGTTGTTTCCTCACTTTCAGTTGTCATGGGCTACATGCATAGAGGGCTACATGAAGCCCCCTTTTATGAGGTGCCTGGCAAAAGGACCAGCCATTGTCTCCATGGACTTGGTGTAACTAATTTATCATCTGTGATCTAGACCTCCTGTCCTCCTCCTGTGCCCTGAAGACCTGGGGGAATTAGGGAATCTCTGTGTGGATCAAGTGTCTTGGAATCCTCCTGGAGGCACAGCCACATGCCCTCAGTACTGGTGCCCTGTCATTCTTCACATGTCCACATGGTCCCAGAATGTAGAGTACACCTGACAGCCTGGTCCTGGTCACCTGGGTTCCCCCAGAGCTGGTAGAGCCTTCCTGGCACCCTGAGCCCCAGTGGGACCCCAGCACCAATCAGGGGTCCAGCCCCATCTGCCTCTCTTTGCCTCCTGCCTCCTGCCATGTGGTGCTTCAGCCTCAGGAGCCCTGGTCAGGAGCAGCACCTGGGTGTTTGCACCCTGGTCTCCAGAACCTGCTGCAGCACAGCTCTCTCCTTGTGCACCCTCAGCCTCAGGAGCTGCTCACAGAAGCACAGACTGGACTCAGCCACACTGGTGCTGGGGCCTGAGGTGGTCATAGTAGCATCTAAAGAGGTGGACACAGCCCTGGGACTGGGTAAAGGGTGTTTATGTGCCCGGACTGATCCAGGAGCTGGAAGGGTCACCCAAGAGCTGAACTGGCAGCACCCATGGTGTTAACTCTGCAGGCACACAGGGTGCCAGAGTGTTGGGGTGGCTCTTCTTCTAGAGGATGTCTGTCACATGACCAGCAGTGACTTCATTAATGAAAGTTCAATTCATGAGTAAATGCTAGGGAATTTTAAATTAAAGAGACAAAACTATAATTACCTTTAACACCAGCTCCAGGACCGCTCCTCCTAGCTCCCGCCTCCAGCCAACTAATGATATAGTGAGGTTTACTGAAGAGGGTAGTGAGAGAGGGAGAACATGCCAGGGAGTGGACTTATATTAGGGAACAAAAAATTCCAGGGAAAATCCCATGCAATGAAGGTCAAGGGGGCAGCATCCCAAGGTCAGGGGTGATGATTGGCTCTTCGGGGAAGTGGCCAGACACACCTCTGCATGGACAAGCCCTGGGACCTGGAGAAGGGTGGGCAAAGCTCTGACACAGCTGTGTCTAAGCACCTCTCACCCAGCCAGGGAGGTAACGCAAATCATGTGCGAGGATGGCCTCCCACAAGGGTGCATTACAGAGGATTCTCTGGGTAGGCTTCGGGCTCAGGCAGAGCTTTGTCAGAGGGGTGGCCCCTACAGAGTCCCCTTATGCATTGTAGGTCCACCAGCTAGAGGAACAGTTTGGAGGGTAGCAGGCAGGATACCACACCCTGTGCAATTTCACTTGAGGTCAGCAGAGACATTGGATGGGACAGCCTAGGGATTAGGGACAGGACTTCTAAGCAATATGCATGTCTGGTGGGACATGTGTCCAAGAGGCCTGCCCTTAACTCCAATCCCATGAGTGTTGAAGCACTTTTCATGTGTCCCTTAATGGAGATGTGGTTCATATGCTGTCCACAGAGAGAGAATGTGATTTGCCAAGAAGAATGGCATCCTGTCTCTGCTGGCCCTGGGCATGGCCCTGGAGCACATGGACCTAGCTGAAATGGGTCAGGCAGAGGGAGACCATCACCACACCATTCCTCATGTGGAAAGCTACTGCATCAGATCCTGGAAAGAGAGAGGACAGTGTCCCCTGGAGATGGGAAGGTGCAGGGAGGGTGAGGGTGAGGGTGGAGGGTGAGGGTGAGGGTGGGTGGTGAGGGCCACGTGCAGAGAGGGCCTTGTCCTGAGGCTCTGCAGCTCACAGGGCAGCTGTGGCCCACAGCCAGGCTGTGCTTCACAGTGACTGGGGCAGAGCAGCTGGTGGGCTCCCCACACCCAGGAGGGACAGGTGATGGACAATTGGGTGTGCATAGCTTGGGACCCATCACGGAAACTGGCACTCCTGTGTCAGGGTGCTGTCCTCTGCCTCACTAGAGCTGGGTTTCAGTGTAAGTGTGAAAATACAGCTGGAATGGCCAGCTGTTGTCTGATGGAGAAAGATGCTGCCATTCTTAATGATGTGGATAATGAAACACGCTCACATGAGAAAGAAAACAATATTAAACATATCAATTCATATTCAGGTTTTTCAAAATATATTCAACTGTCAATTCATAAATATAATTTATTTAACTGTTTATAATTGTTGTAGTCAGAAATGTGACCTTAATCAATCAAACACAGAGTCTCTGCAAGTGAGGGGCATCATGTTTATGGGTGGTGACCCCAGCACCCACCAGGCTTGGTTATAAGCTGAGGCCCCCAGAGCAAGTCCTAAGGTCTCAACAAGGAAAAGCAGAAAGAAACTAGACACTGGGGAAGATGGATATGGGGAAAATTCTGTCTTTATTTAGGTGAAATATCCCTATTGTTCATAAAATTACAATAGAATTTACAGTGCTAACTTATTATTCAGGTATGTCTCAGGCTACCAGAGGTATACATCAAAAGAACATCAAGGGGAGTGGATCCAACATGGCGGCGAGAGGGGAGGCAGCGCTTTCAGTACCTCCTCAACAACGGGGTCAGAGAGACACATGGATACGCTTAGATTCGACCTGCTGAGAAACTCCTAGCAAAATTCCACTAAAGAGAGACCGGCCGGGAATCGGTAGGATTTTTGGAGGTGACAGTTTGTGCTAGACAAGTGAATCTCTGCCACGCAGCGCAGAGGTCCAGACCCGCCAGCTGCTGCCCGCGCGACTCGGCGACTGTCAGCTGCCTGCACTGGCCCCCACGTCAGGGCGGATAGCCTCCGAGGCGCAGCGCAGCAGGAGCGGTGCAGGGACTCTAGGAAGAGGTCTCTCGCCAAGCCTTCATGAAATAGCGAACCGGGAGCTGAAACCAACCAGAGACAGACCAGTCCCACCCCTCCCTTCAGACACTCTGGCAAGGAGCCTGGGGCCCGCCATAGCAGAGAGGTGACATCACCAAAGTTCCGCCGACAGAATTCCTTCCCAGCGGAATCCACGTTAGCAGGTGTGTGACTCCCACCCCTTCCAGATACAAGCAGCCAGGAAACCTCGGGAATCTCTCCGGGGGCGTGTCTGTAGGGAAGCAGAGGGGATTCCAGATCCCCACCTCCCCTTAACACCAGCGGCGACACCCAAGATCTTAGCCGCCAGTTTCTGGGGGCGTGCCCACCAAAGGGGTCCGGAAAAATTAAACTGTTGGTTCCCAGATCACCCCACCACAGCACTGGGGCTTAGATGAATGACAGAGAGGGTGTTCATCGTTCGGGATATAGGACACGCGGTGGGGCTGCAAGTGTAATCAGATCCTTGGGGAACCTCCTCCGGTGAACAGGACCTGGCTGGCTGGCTGGGAGGAGGAACAGGGGGAGGGGCCGGATAAGTGAAAGGGCTCTACACTAACAGGATTGAGAGACTCCCAGGAGCCACCGTACAGGGATTTCTGTCAGCACATAGAGGGCAGAAGCTTGGTTCAGAGGGCACAGCTCTGCCTATTGGAAGAGAAGAAAATGAGATTCAGCCATAGAACAGGGGAGGCCAGCATGGCAGACATCTGATGTCATCGGAGAGCGGCCGAGGAGAGAACTTCATCGGTGCCAGCAGCGACGGAAACAGTTGGTCCCCTGGTAGGGAGTGTGAGTCACAGATACCTGAGTCTCTCTCGCTTTGTCGTCGAGCCAGAGGGGAGGAGAGGGGCCACCGCCCACGCCCGCAAGTTAGGCAGACCTGCGACCAACCTGCAGATCAGGCCCAGCGGTCTGCGGGCGTGGTAGGAGGGGCAGGGCAGAGCCGCCGCCCAGGCCAGCAAGGTAAGCAGACCTTCGACAGACCGGCAGATCAGGCCCAGCGGCCTGCCAGTGTGGTACACACTTCACCCCAACTGGAGTAGGGGCAGAGCAGAGCCTTCGCCCCCGCCCAGATCAGGCCCAGCGGCCCGCCTGTGTGGTGGTCAAGTGACCCCAATTGGAGTGGGGGCAGAGCGGAACTGACACCCATGCCCGCAAGGTGGGCAGACCGGCGACCAACCTGCAGATCAGGCCTAGCGGTCCCCGGGCGTGGTAGGAGGGGCAGGGCAGAGCCTTTGCCCCCACCTGAAAGGTAGGCAGACCTGTGATAGAATGGCGGATCAGGCCCAGGGGTCCGCAGGCGTGGTAGACACCTCACACCAATTGGAAGAGGGGCAGAGCAGAGCCCCCGCCCGCACCTGCAAGGGAGACTTTTCAACTATACAAGAGCAATATAAATATATAGGGGGGGAAATTTCAAAAACACAACAGTTTC